TCCATTATATCATGTCAAGGGCTCGGATGGAAGTCGTAGTTTGGTCCTGTACAATTTCGTACGTTTACAGCTCGGGCGTTGTAACAGGCGCGGATCGACTGCGCAAAACGCCGATGCTCATATAAGGCGCACACTGCAGAGCATTTTTGAAGCAAATTCAAAAGCAAATTAGATAAATATTCCAAAGATATGTGTCCTAATGAGACAGTATAAGTCTATACAATGAGAGATACAGCTGCAGTAATTGATGACAAGGGGAGACTAAGAGCAAATCAGAATAACCAAGGTCCCACTACAAACGCCAACAGGGTCAGTTCATGCACACCATTTCGCAAATAGAATTACGAACCTCGACTCTTGGTATTATCTGGGGTGATTTGAAGACACGATTGATGGATGAGGTTGAGCGCCTTGACGGCGTCCCGACCCTCTATGACACAAGAGATGTTGATCTCGCTGGAACCTTGGCTGATCATCTCGATGTTCACACTCCCATTCGCCAACGTGCTGAACATCCTGCCCGCAATACCAACCATGTTCTTCAGCTTGCCGACCAGAGACAAAATAGACATGTCTGTGTGCACCGACACTGTCCCGTACTTCTCCAAATCCACAACGAGCCGATGGAGGAGCTTCTTGTGCAGGTTGTCTTCGATGGCCATGGAGACGTGTACCTCGCTAGTACTGATGAGATCGACTACCACGCCGAACCTGTCGAGCGTCCCGAACACACTCGCGAAGAAACCGTGTGACACGTTCTTGCGGTTAGACTTGACGTTCAGAACCATGATGCGCTCTTTGATGGTGACAGCTGTTGGTGTACGCTGGCGCCTGTCCTCTTGTGCCATGGCGGCCTCTGCAATCTGTCGCAGCATCGAGTCCGACACCGGCTCCGGAACGCCGTTCTCGCCAAGCTCTTCATCCACGTCTTGGCTGTCGACATCAGGATCGGGGTGGATCACAGTCCCTCCACCGCGGGGATTCATCACGTTCTTGATACGGATCGAGATGCGCTTGCGGATAGCCTGCTCCATGGTCAATGGGTGAACAACCTCGCTTCCATAGTACGTCAATTCGGCGGCTTCGTCGGGGGAGATGATAGGGATGAGGCGGGCCGTAGGAACTTTTCGCGGGTCGGCGGTGAAGATTCCGTCAACTTCCTTCCATATTTGCAGCTCAGAAGCATCCAGCCCGACTGCAAGAATGGACGACAGAAGATCAGTGTATCCTCGGCCAATCTGGCGAAGTAATGATCCAGGCACATGTCCGAAGAAACCTGCACATCAGTCAGTCTTGCTATACTCCGCACAGAATCACAAGACGAACCTGTGACGACCGGCACCCGAGGGCCGCATTGCGCTATCCGCTCACCGAGGGCAGCCGCCAATCGGTCATAGAATGCCTGGTCTAAGGCCGCACTGTCATCCCCGTCGTCGTTGTCGGGGACAATATCCTCCAGCGACACGTATTCAGCGTCGATCCCCTGGTCCCGAAGAACAGCCGTCATCATCTTGCAGGACATCCTTTCTCCAAGCCCGATGATCGTGTCTTTCGAACGCGGAGATATCTCGTCAATAAACTGGAAGTATATGTTAAAGGGAGCTCAAATAAATCAGCTATTAAGTATACGGACCTGTGCGGCGAAAAGGAATCCCCTTAGCCAATCGCAGTCAGCCTCTATCTCATCCTCGAGCTCTGCTAATAATACGGGATCCCGGACATGGCTTTTCGCAGCAGTCATGTGCTCAGAGCGTATGAGATCAACTGTCGCGTTGAACGCCGGGACAGACTGCCCGGGTTGGGGAACTGTCAAAGGCGTATACGATGCCGGGGGTGAGCTTCGAGGAGACGATGAGCCTCGCCCACGGGGGCTGCTCCCAAAGGCCGGAGTGTTGTCTGAAAAAGACATTGCCCGGAATAAGCCATTGACGGGGGTCACGATGCCTGAAGTGACCGATTTCTTTTCTGGTCGACGCAGAGCCTCGGATGCTGCCTGAAGGAGGAGATTGGTGGTTCCGAGAGCCTTGGTCGAGCCTGATCGAGCAGAGCACACGATGGCTACCTTGTGTTGGTCAATGTAGCTCCTGTAAAGCGTGTAAGCATCGGGGCGCACACGGGGGGCGAGACTGACTCACGAGACGATGTCCTCTGCGATCTTGACAGCAAACTTGCCAACGCTTGTTCCGCCAAATTTCTGCACAAGCCATCTGGCTGATGGATCTATGGTATTTTGGTGCAGGATGGGTGGGGTCCTGGGCGGTGTGTATTCCCGCGAGGAACTGGAGGAATAAGAGGTGGAGGGGGTAGAGATGTCGGACATGGTGGTGGTTCGAGAGCGTAATTCTCTAGAGGGCCTTTTTGTAGATCTGTGCTGTTCTAACCTGAAACCAAGTATGAACTCCAAGTAGTAGTTACCATCAGGGCATCCTTTGTATGCACCGAAATCTGTCGGATTTCAGACGGAGTAAAGTCCAAAACACCCTAAAGGTCCCGTGGATTACCTTTTCAAGCGAGCAAAGTTGATCTTCGCCTATACGGGTTTAGCTGTTTGCCTCGCTCATCCTACAACAACGTATCGCGGTCCGCCTAAACTCGATCATCATCATCATCGGTACCTCATACATAAATCACCGGGGCGTTCTCTCTCTACAATTATCATCCTCATTGACAATGACATGCGGAAATGGGAGCAGCGCGCATTCGCCGTTCCTTGAAAGTGCTGAGAGCGACTTGTGCGGAAAGATCACTGCAGTGCCCGCACCGCGTACTGCTCCAGCCTGGACTCTGTAAGATCTTTTCCGATGCCACTCTTCCTCACCTTCCATTTCACATGCTCCGAATTACACACTGCCACAGGCACAGTGGCAGCGGGTAGCTCCTAACATATCGGTTGCCGGGATGCCCGCTTCTCAGCACTCGCGCCTTCGCACTCATGCAGTTTACACAACAGATACAGCAATCTAACAGCATCCTTCTATCATTCGAGAAATCCCATCCACAGCACTGTGAGTGGATCTGTGGTCCCATGCTGTTCCGAGGTCTCTGGCGAAACTTCAACAGGAAGCACCCCTGCCACCCTTAACAAAACCCTCCAAAACCATAACCGACGCGCTGTAAATGGGGTTGCTGTTATTTCTGCCACGTCTTCAAGTCCTTGCACTGTGGCTCTTTCATGCTTTACCTTGTTCTATATCTGTTCTGCTTATGCCATCCTGTCATTGGTCAACCGACAAACCGCATATATTTGTGGACCGGTAGTTATCAAGACCCCTCATTTTCGCTCGCAAAAGCAAATCTGGTGACCCATGCGGCTAATTCTTCTCTAAAGCATTACTGCAGTAATCTTGCAGTACAGATAAGATTTGTCCGATGCACTTGCTGAGGCTCGTGGCTATGTGCTGTTCCTATTTTACAGCAGTCAGCACTTTCTTGAAGTGAATTTGTTTAGGCTATAGACTGACATAGGGAGGAGTTACCAGCATCCAACGGATGCGTCCATACAGGTGAGCGTGCCCCATCCTGCTTCACAGCTGCGATGTGTCTTAGCTTTTCGAGATTGAGGTCCCTTAGCTTTCTTTCACACGCCCGATCTGTCGTGTTTTAGGTGTATTGCTCGTCCAAGCGATGGCGCTATTACTGCATTACGGGGTGGCATTCATATTTGCGCAATCTATGAAAGATGTAATGTGTGCGGCTACAGACGGTGCATTAGCCGCCAAGAAGCCCAAGACAGGAAACTATTGACTACTGTTGTCCTGCTTTTAGGCACTACACGCCAATTCCTCCAGTTTTGTGAGAAATCGAAAGACTTATCTAAAGCGGAGATACTTCTAGATATCACGAAGAACTGTGCTATCCCACCTTCCACTGTGATACCGTCAATCAAACGCCACTTACATCCAAGCATAGAGTTCCTCCCTTCAAATATCGATTATCATGTGCTTGTACAGAGCCGACACTGATACTAGTTTCGAATCTAAAGTGACAATTCTTGGTTTATCTACGGCACTTTATGTTCTGAGGATACTGCGCATAAGTGGAATTGGTATACTATGAGGGTCGCACTTCATTGGCGGTTGAATCATGAATGGAAGATGTTCAAGTTTTCGGAGCTGCGTATGAGGAAAGTGGAAGAAGTGTGACGGAGTCGAGAATGTACACGGAGTGACATGATTCACAGTGTATTGGTAGTGGAATAATCATGGCAGTATTGACCAGGCTACAGATCTGCAATTGCCACCAGCGAGATTCGCTAATTGTTCAATTTTGCTGGTCGATCCATATATGTACATGTCCCACCGATCATGTATCTTCTGTCTGCTCTGATAGTGCAGTGCAGATGATCAGTGTCCATTTCTTAAAAGACAAGTGCAAACATAGGCCTCCGCTCTTGTGTGTATTGTAATTTCATTGAGCGCAGGAAAATATGTATCGTCACACTGTAGCAGCTTGAGCGATATCGTAGAGTGCGGACTTCTAATCCATAACACTCGTCGTGTGTGGCAAAATAAGTGATTCGCGCCGGGATCGAACCGGCGATCTTCTGTGAAACATAGAATGTAAGACAGATGCCATAACCGCTAGGCCAGCGAACCTTCGAGGGGGGCCATGCAGATGGCCATCCTATTCGGCCACCACCTGAACATTGTTTCTGGACAGAATTTGTGTAATTTGTGTATGTACGCGTAGCAATCTGAATCATCCGCGTCAACCCGATCTGTCGTTTACAGTCGCAAATGTGCAGGCATTGCGGGAAGTCGAAAATCTGGGCAGTTGCACGTGAGCCATGTGGATTTCCAAAAATGCCGAGACTAATTTGTTTGGGCGCTTAAAACCAGTCCAATTCTCTTCGCTTTCCCCTCGCGACGCGACTCGTGACACCTTCATCCTCTTCGTGCTCATCTTCTTAAAGGCTGAAGCTTTCATGGTGCAGATTTGCCCCCTTCTGCAAGCTCACGGCTCATGCAGCTCCGAGTACTGTCCCTACAACCATGATGTTCGGATATGCGACGTCTGCGACATCCTTTGTACATCCACGGCAGCGTACAACTCACACCTTCGTGGCAAGAAGCATCGATCGAAGGTTCTGGGACAATCTACTCTGTTCAAGTGCCCGATATGCGTAGTGTCAGTTTATGGACCCGCTAGTTGGGACCAACACGTCACTGGCGCGTCTCACATGCGTCAAGCACAATTGCAAGGTGTTTCTTCTGACGTAGAGCCTCAAGGCGCAGAGCTATATGGCCGTACGCACTGTGGCCTATGCGACAAATACGTCCCAACGCAATATTGGCCGGGACACCTCCAGGGGTTGCTGCATCGAAGGAAGGAATCCGTGGTCGCTTATAAAACGGCCATGGAAGAGGCCGAAAAAAACAAGCATGGTGTTACTATCTCTGCCAGTCTTGATTTTGGTGTTGTCGATATCGCCGACGCTGGCCGTGGAGTACGTGTCGATTTCAAGATAGATACGACTATCCCTGTCTCCCGAGTCTCGTTGATCGATTACAAGTTGACAGCGTCTGGTCGGGGAAACTCACCGTGCGTCACAATGCATATCGAATTGTTTTGGTTGCTGACTTACGCACTAGTTTTTCGATTTCGTTGGTAAATGGTCCCCTCGCTTATGGGCGCCCAATCACCGGATATGTCAAGTTCAGCGAAGTGGATTACGGCCGGTACGAAGATCGCATCGAGATATTCTTTGAAGACAGCAGTCTCAACTATCAGCGTTTCGTCATCGTACGACCACTGAAAGCAATTGTAGGCAACAAGCAAGACTATGAACTCCTTAAGGCCCGGGCCCCTTTTGTCCCGCGCAAGCGTGTCGCAAGAGAGCCAGAGACGGAGATACTTGAAGGGGTCTTGCCACCTACACTAAAGGCCGTACCCTATGTTGTCGCGCTTTGTCGCGCTGATATCCCTAAGGCACTTGCCGTCTCGTTATCCACCGGCCCGATGCACGAAGTGGTGAGCCGTGTACGGAGGGTGTTTCTCCCCAGAATCTGGGATAGCAGCACATATGGAAGGCACTTCAAGAATCTGCTCTGGGTGGAAGAATATCGTATGGAGTGAGTCCAGTACCCTTACGCCTGCTATATGTATTCATCCACTATATTTTAGGCGTGATCTCGAGATGTACGATATCCCTGATGCCACCCTGACAAACCACGGGCAGTATTACTTGTGCGCGCGCTCTGTAATAGGCTTCGCACCGATAGCTGACATGTTCAATGAAGCATCTCCGTCCCGGGTCTGGCAGAGAAACGCCCAAGTGTGCTTGTTGGTCAGTCATCATCTTGCACTAGTTCCAACCCCGACTAAGCAATGCATTGCAGGCGATCGTATTCTTGTGCAGAGACATGATGGCCCTCCCGGCCAGTGGTACGAGGGCGGCGTCCATATCGTCCGCAAAGAAGAAGTTGGCCTACGTTTCCACTCATCTTTCCGCTGGTCTAGAACGGAAGTATACAACGTACGATTCAAACTGAACCGATACCCGCTTCGCCGGCAACACCAGGCGCTGGACACGGCATTCGCACAGAACCGACTTTTGCAACCCCCGGGATGGCGTGCGGATTTTGTCAGCGAAACTCCCAACTTGCGGATCGCCTGCTACAACAAGCTTATTGCCGAGAACCCCCACCAGATGAAGGCCGTCAACGCAATTGTTACACAGCTGCCCGGCTCTCTGCCATTTGTCGTATTTGGACCGTGAGTTCTGACATTATGGTTGCATCCTGTCTGCATGCTCAATCATTTCAATGTAGACCTGGTACGGGAAAGACCGTCACGATAATCGAGGCTATTCGCCAGCTATTGCGTTCTTGCCCCTCGGCGCGTATCTTGGCCTGCGCACCTAGTAACTCAGCGGCCGACCTCATAGCATCGCGTTTGACCATGCTCGGTACAGATGCCCTCTTCAGATTCTACGCCTCGTCGCGCAGCAAAGACACCGTTCCGGACGCGCTGCTGCCCTTTACCGCTCTCAACACCGAGCGCCACTTCTCCACGCCTCCCATGTCCAGGCTGAAGCGCTTCAGCGTCATTGTAACTACCTGCGTGTCGGCAAGCTTCGCGTATGGTATCGGAGTCCCGCGTGGCCATTTCACGCACATGTTCTTTGACGAGGCGGGCCAAGCCACTGAGCCAGAAATCATGATCGGCATCAAGACACTTGCAGACACGTCGACGAATGTAGTGCTCAGTGGAGATCCTCAGCAGCTTGGGCCCATCATTCGCTCTGCCGTTGCCCGGGACCTTGGGCTGGAGACCAGCTACTTGGAGCGACTTATGAAGACGCCGTTGTATGATGATAGAACTGGCCACGGTCGCACGTATGTGTCCCAGCTGTGTATTGAAGTGGCCACTAACAGCGTTCTGCAGTGTCGTCAAGCTCGTTAAGAACTTCAGATCACATAAGAGCATCCTCAAGTTCCCGAATGAGAAGTTCTACCAAGGCGAATTGGAGCCACAAGGGGACCCAAAGACCATAAATGCCATGATTGGGTCGCCTCAGCTCGTCTCTGACACATTCCCAATAGTGTTCCATGCGGTTTCTGGCAAGGACGATCGTGAGGCTGCATCACCTTCTTTCTTTAACATCGACGAAGCAACGTTGGTCAAGAACTATGTTCAGAGTCTTCGCTCTGACCGGCATTTCCGTGTCACTGACCAAGATATCGGAATCATCACCCCGTATCACGCACAGTGCCTCAAAATAAAAGCCGTTCTGCGTCCAATTGCTGATGGAGTTAAAGTTGGAAGTGTCGAGGAGTTTCAGGGGCAGGTGCGAAATTTCGTCAACACAGGGTTTCCAAGTCTTCTAAGGCTCTTCACATTGCAGGAGCGCAAGATCATCATCATATCCACAGTTCGGAGCAGTCGTGCCTTTATCGAATACGATCTGAAGCACACGCTAGGGTTTGTTGCCAACCCTCGCAGATTCAATGGTCGGTGGTTCTTGTTGTACGTCAAGCCCAGCTGCAAACTGATATGATACGCAGTCGCGGTGACGCGAGCGCAAGCCATGCTCATTGTGATCGGTGACCCTTCTGTGCTGTCCCTGGACCCCCTATGGAGGTCCTTCCTGAATTATGTCCATTTGAACGGAGGATGGCGCGGGAAGTTCATCACCTGGGATCCTCTTGCGCCCGTGGAGGGTGGCGCAGGATACACTTATGCCCGGGGATTCCGCGAGGCCGGTGTGACAGATATGAACGACTTTACCAGGCGCATGGAAGAGATGACCTTGAACGGTACAGGACGCAAAGAGGGCCAGGAAGTAGAAGATGACGAGGGTGTGGATAGGCCCTGGAGGGAAACAGAGTAATCTTGAAGTGATCCTATCGCCTTGTCGCCGCTCTTTAGATTTAGTTGACAATCCTGGATGCTATTTGCCCTTGTGTTGGCAGACCAAGCGGTGATAACAGCTCAAACGCGGGAAAAGGGGCCCAAGGTAGAACTTGAACCTGGAAACTTGCAATTAGGGGAACAGTACATAGTAGAAGAGGACAGAAGGCACTGTCTGATGGCGTTGTGACCCCGCGATCAATGCTGATCAATGGCAGGCACAAGGAAATTGAAGCACATGCGCAAGCACTTGTCTGGGTTCCTACCACGACGGGCACGGCATTTGTTTTTTTGCCCTCCCTTTCTCTTCTTAGCTAGCCTGGTTTGAAAGTGCTGTCGTGACGCTGCTCAAGTCCTGGTGATTCCGTCGAGTGAGTGATTATGGCAACGCAGTCTCTGCAGCATGGCACTGAATGATGTAGGCTAGCGATATCATGCGCACGACCTTTTCCACGGCCTTGCTCCTTACCCTCGTGGCGCGCTCAGGCAATGCCATCGATCTTGGCAGGCGGCAAGGGGAACCACTCAGCAGTCTGGCTTCGACAACGGCGTCTTCGACGGCCGCTTCAAGTCCCTCTGGTATTACTGCACCAGGCCCCGCTCAGTCGTTGAGCTTTGTGACCCCCACCGAAGTGACCACATGTCAGGACACTCTGATTCAGTGGGAGTATGCAGGGTCCAGTGGAGAGTTGCTCACTCTGGGGATTTCGAATGTTAATGTTACTCAAACCGGGATCGACCCTGCCCCACCGTTGACAATCCAACCTCTTGCCTATGACTTGGACCCTGGTGCCGACAATTGGACGTGGTCGCCAGTTAACCTCACGATGGGCTATTACTTCGTCATAGGAGGTGCTGGCAAGATCGCGGCCCAGTCCGATATCTTCCTCATCACGAACGGCTCCGACACATCTTGCCTGGTAGCCCCCACCCCCACTCCCGCCCCTTCTTCTACCATGGTCACATCCACTTCCTCTTCCTCTGCGAGGTCCCACTCAGTCACGTCCTCGCCAACGGGAGCCCCCACATCCACCGCCAAGAAGTCCAACGCAGGCGCCATCGCAGGTGGTGTGGTGGGCGGCATCCTTGTGCTCCTCCTCATCGGCGGCATCATCATGATGCTCATGCGCAGAAGGAACCGATCTGCGCGCGTCCGTCGCTCACTCTCAGACCCGCGTGATCCGTTCACCAGAGCAAAGCCGACGGGCGCAGCCCGCCATCACGGGCCTTCAGAGTCCACAGG